TATTATTACAAAAATGTCTTATTCTAATTAATGTTTCTCTGAAATAAATTTTGAAAAAGTTTCGTAACAAAAACAATTGAATTTGTAAACAAAAATTGAATAGCTACAAATAAGCCTCAATGTCATAAATACCAACTTAAAAATTTTTATTTTTGACATATTGTCAAAAATTTTTGAAATATATATTTTTATATATATATATATATATATATATATATATATATATATATATATATATATATATATATATATATATTCTTTATTGAATAACAATAAAGAATATGGAGAAAATGTATAAACATCAAACTAAAAAATAGACTAAAACATGAAATGAAAACATACATGAGTAGTGGGAATAGTGCAGAAATATCATACAAAAAGCAGCTGAAGAAGTAGTTGTCATGCAAGGTAAACAAAGAAAAACAAAAATGAATGACTGGTTTGATGAAGAATGTCTGATTATAACACAAAGAAAAAATAGAACATATTTACTGATGTAACAAAAGCACAGGACCCAACAAGCAGAGGAGGAATATAAACAGCTAAAGCTCCTATATAAAAAATAAAAAAATCCACCCAAGAAAGACTAGAGAAAATATGGACAAAGAATTACAAGAACTAAGTAAGCAAAAGAATTTAATATACTGTTATGTTTATTTCTTTGGATTCAGGGATTAAGTGAAGCAAACGTGGTGGTTAACTAACTTTATTTCTACTGTATGATAAATTCCATATCAGGAATCCAACTTGTTCAGTGACGATCTGAACAACTTCCAATAACTAACTAATACATCAACAAAACGGTATTCAGGTACCATTTTTCATCCCAAAATTATAAGAAAATAGTCATAAAATTGAAATCTGCTGAACAGCTGTTACAATCTGGCAACTAGTGTTTTCAAAGTTTTGACAGTATTGCCAAGTTTATTTGCTTATCTACCAAAGGCCAATTATAACATTTTTTTCTGATAACTAACTGCAACTAATATCAAAAGAAACAAATATTCATTTGTTCGTGTTTTATATGAATTTATAAAAATTTAAAAAATGCCCGATTCCGTAAAATAATATAATAAAAATGTTCTGTTTCAAAGCATTTGTCTTGTCTAAGCATAAAACATACATAATAAGGACATGGCAAACGTAAATTTGACAGTTCATTTTTAGCTAACTTCACCCTTCACCGGCACTCTATACTTTTTTCCCGAAGTAGTATAAATATAAATAACTCTAAATATAGGACTTAAGGCAAAAGTATAGAGAAAGTACCGATGAAGTTAGCTACAAATTAGTGACAGATTTGTGTTTGACAGTGTTGCCATATCACAAATCATCACGAAAGAGCATGCGATATAATATTAACTAATGTTACTAAACATTCTTTTTAAGTTTTTAAAAGAAGTTTAATTAATTTAAATTTAGTTTATTATAAATTAAAATAACTTAAATTTTTTAAACGTTTAAATCCTTAAGTTTTTAAATTTAATTAAACATCTTTACCGATATATTTTTACAACTTTTTTATTTTTAGTACTTACTTTGTTATTCACATTTTATGGATTTAATCTCTGCAACGGAAATTTGAAAAAATATAAATTATTTTAATGACAGTAAATCTGATGGTTGAAACCAAAAGTATTGTTTTATTGAAAGTTGTGGATTAGTTTCATGTAGAAATAGATGTGTTGAATTAAAATAAAAACGAAATCTGCTGAACATGTGTTGCAATCTGGCAACTAGTGTTTTCAAAGTTTTGACAGTATTGCCAAGTTTATTTGCTAATCTACCAAAGGCCAATTATACATTTTTTTCTAATAATTAATTGCAACTAATATCAAAAGAAACAAATATTCATTCGTTCGTGTTTTATATAAATTTAATTTTTTTTTTAAAAATACCCGATTTCATAAAATAATATAATCAAAATGTACTGTTTCTAAGCATATTTGAGGCATAAAACATATACAAAATAAGGACATGGCAATACCGCAAACACAAATTTGACGGATCATTGTAGCTCACTTCATCGGCACTTTCTCTGTACTTTTGCCGGACTTAAATATTTGGGCAAAAGTATAAAGACAGTGCAGATGAAGTTAGCTACAAATGAGGGACATATTTGTATTTGGCAGTGTTGCCATATCACAAATAAATCACGAAAGAGCATGCGATATAATAATTATTAATGTTACTAAACATTATTTTTAAGTTTTTAAAAGAAGTTTAATTAATTTATATTTAATTTATTATAATTTAAATTAACTTTAACTTTTGAAACTTTTAAATTCATAAGTTTTTAAGCTATTCAGGTACCATTTCATCCCAAAATTACACGAAAATGACATAAAATTGAAATTTCCTAACATATGTTGCAATCTGGCAAATAGTGTTTTCAAGGTTTTGTCAATGTTGCCAAGTTTATGTGCTAACCTACCAAAGGCCAATTATAATTTTTTTTCTAATAACTAACTGCAACTAATATCAAAAGAAACAAATATTTCGTTCGTGTTTAATATAAATTTAAGGACGATTTTCACATTTGGTCCCATTGAAGATAGCCTCAAATTAGCTGTCAATTAAGTTTCACAGAACGAAATATTGTGTTGGCAGTGTTGCCAAGTTATTATAATGTATAAGTTATATGCTTCAAATACAAAGAGATAAAGCTTTTAAAAGGTACATTTTTATATTATTTTATGGATTCTGCAATTTTATACCTTATATAAAATATTAATGAAGTAATATTTGTTTCGTTTGATATTAGTTGTAACAAATTATCAGAATTTTTTTTTGGCAATTGCCCTTTGGTAGGTTAGCGGATAGATTTGGCAATAGAGTCAGAACCCTCAAACCACCAGTTGCCAGATTGCAACAAATTTTACTATTTACTGTTAAAAACTGTTTTAAAACTATTTGCTTTTTCTTTTTTTCGTAATCGTTAAATATTAGTTTTTAAATATCTTATTGCTTTTAATTGCGTATGTTTCGTTTGTAATATAAATTTCAACACTGCGAAACACCAATATTTCATTCTGTCAAACCCATTTGAAGCTATCTTCAATGGGACCAAATGTGAAAATCGTCCTAAATTTAAAAAATACCCGAATTTATAAAATAATATAATAAAAATGTAGTGCTTCAAAGCATATTTGACGCATAAAAGATTTACATAGTGGATTTACATAGTGGTAAAAAGTGGTAATTATTTACTAAGCCGGAACGCCTTAAAAATGCCCAATTTTTTGTGGACAGCCGAAAAAGTGAAAACAACCTCAAATTTTAATGTTTTCTTTGCTTTAAACTATTAAAAGTGCCCAAATAATCAAAAAAAATCAGAAAAAATACAAAAAAAGTATTATGAACCAAAAAAAAAATTACATAAAAAGCAAAGAAAAGCATATATACATGTCTTAATAAAAAAACGTAACTAAAACATATTAAATATCACTATTTTTACAGTAAAATTATGAAAAAATGCGTAAAATTGTTTAAAATAATCAAGATTTTTAATATTTCAAAACAATATGGCGGCCATGCGCAAGAAGTTAAATTTTATGTATTTTTGACATTGTTGCCAGTTTTAACATTTAAAATACCTAAATTTTAAAATTTAATGAAAATTACATTTACATTTTAATATTAAAAATTCAAACCAATAAACCAAATCTAACCCAACAAGAAAACATGACAATAAAACTAAACCAACCTAACCTAACGCTGGTAAAAAAGGAGTAATAAGAATAAAATTTTGTAATATAATTAAAAATCATATTTTTTATTTTTCATAAGAAAATATGATAATAAACGTAAAAAAACGTAACCAAACCTAACCTGACCCTTGTAAAAAAGGTATAGTTTTCAGTTAAAAGTAGGAATATAATTAAAAATCAAATTTTTTATTTTTAATAATAAAATGTTATTTTAATGTCCAATTTGAAATTAATTAGAAAACGTAATTTTGAATAACTATGGCAACACTGGCTAAAATTACCATTTTTGACCAAAAGAAACAGTTGTCACTCCTGTCATTTCTTGTTCTTGTTGTTTCATGGTAAATAATGGCGGTGGCTTTTAAAAATCGGGCATATTTTAAATGGAAATTACATAAAAAAATAACGTCTTGCACCGCATAAAAATCATTGCACAATTATTAGTCAGTGAAGCAGAATTCATTGATATAAATTTCATCTCCGTAAACATGGTTCCGGCTTATTACACTAGTACCAAATGGTAACTAACCTTGTTCAGTTTTTTGGATTTCTTCAAATGGATTATGTTTATTTCCATGTTGTTCTATTTCAGTATTTATGGGATATATCTTTAAGTCTAAAGAATCATACGCGACATGAGTACTTTGCCTATTGGATTCCTCCTGAATTTCACATTTAAAGCCATCATCCAAAGCAGCATATTCCAAGTCATACTCTTCTATTTTAAACGTTTCCTCGGTAATTTCTTGTTTTACTTCCATTTCATTACAGGACATTACACTTGATTTTATGTATTGCAATCAATAATTTTATATCCAAAAAGTGAAAAGTGAAATCACTCTGACTGCATTCTGAGTTGAGTTTGAGTTTACCGAAAGTACAGGCTGAATATAGCGGCAAATGTCAACCAAGAAATAAAATATTTGGGAAAAGCTTTTAAAAAGTAGATTTTGATTGTACCATTTTATGAATTCTGCAATTTTTAATTTATAAAAAACTATAACGAGTAAATATTTGTATCTTTCAAGATTAAACTCTAATACAGTGTATATTTATTTATTTTATAGTCCAGTTAAAAATTTTAAAAACTGATGCAGGAAAAAATTTGAATGTCAATGTCAACCAATTGTCATTTAAAAACAGCGAACTGTCAATGTTGTATTAAGAAAATATATTTTAAAAAGTAAACATTAACATAAGAAGACAATTTAGATCATAATAGGTACGTAATCAAATTTAAATAATTAATTATTGTGTAAATTATTAATTTTGGTTTTTAAGTAAATCACAATGTGGAAGTATATCGCAGGGTCTGTTGTAGCCGGCTCAGTTGCTTATGGTTTAGTGTAAGTTATTTTATGTTTTTTAATTTAAGTCAACAATTGTACATTATTTTATTTTTAGTAAATATTTTGCCGGAGGGGTTTGCCATTGTACAGCGAGATTGGATGGTCAAGTTGTTGTAATAACTGGTGCAAATTCAGGCATTGGCAAAGCTTTAGGGCTGGAATTAGCTCAGCGAGGTGCTTTAAATTGACATAATAATGAAATAGTGACCTTCAAAAATGCTCTTTTATTTTTATCAATGTTGATGTTGATTTATGGGTACTAGTGTAATAAGAGGGAAGGATGTCTAGGGAGATGAAATTTATATCAATGCGTTCTGCTTCACTTACTAATGATTGCTCTTTAAGCTATGAACCTCTGTTGTAAAGACAACTCTAACCTCAGCTACGTAGCCTCTTATTTATATCAACTGCAGGCACAGGAAGAATTAATTCCAGACCACAACATTTCAGCCTGGAAAGCAATGTATCATTTACATATAACAAATAATAATTTCATATTGTGATCTCAATATTCAAACCTTTATCCAGTGTTTCCCAACTTTAATCTATATTTTACATTTTTTGCATATTGTGTATTTACATTATTATATAGATTATGTAACTGCAGTATTTATTCACATACCATATATTTTATGTTCAATCAAGATATGAGATCTTGTATTGTTAACAAATATTAAACTATAACTGATCTAATAAATGCTGGTTAGAAGTTATGCAAAGTAATAATAAATACTTATATGAATGGATTCGTCTCAAAATTACAATTATTTTATATCATTGCGCCAATTCTGAATTTTGATTGCATAAATTGTAAATGAAGTTTATGTATATTCGTAAATTCTACTAGTCTAGTCACTCAGTTAAAACATCTTAACCCAGTGTGAGCTAAGTCAATTAGAGGAACTATATACTTTTGTACTTTGCCTTAATACCTGCAATAAGATTTATGGACTGACAATTAACAAAATCTCTCTTCTCACTTCAACTGAGGTACATATCAATTTGATTTTAGATTCATTTATATCAATTTATGCTATTATTAATCAAAATTTAGAGTTGAAGTAATATGAAATTATTGTAATTATAGAATAGAATAGAAATATGCTTTATTGTCACCGAAAATTGTACAATTTTAAGGGCAAAGCTTAGAAAAGAAAAAAAATAATATCAATAACACTTAAAATTTACTAAAATTAGAAGATTGTTAAGAAACTCTTCCACTGAATAATAAGGTGTCTCTCAGAAGTTGCAAAAGGAAATGGTATATGGAATATACATCAAATCTTGAATTTCTGGTGGAGTAGTCATGACTAGGTCTTGCTGGAAAAACATGTAGGTGTTTACAAATTAAGCAAACAGTTTCTAGAATATATAGAGAGAGAAGATTTAAAATCGCTTGATTTTTGAAGTAGCTTTTGCAATGTGTTCAATAATTCTACTGAGGCCAAAAAGATACTGTATTGCTCTTTTTTGTAATTTACAAATAACATCAGATCAGGCAGCTGTATGAGAACCCCAAAAAGGAAGGCCATATCGAAGATGAGACTCCGACAAAGAAAATTATGTTATTTCTAAATTCATTTCCTTCGAATCAGATCTTATTGCATAGCAGGCTGACGCTAGTTTCTTACTTAAAAAATCAATATAAAGGGACCATTTAAGGTTGATATCTATAAAAATACCAAGAAATTTTACAGAATCAGTTATACTGATTAGGCTGTTATTACGAAGCAAGGGTTAAAGAGCTCCTTTATAGGATAATTCTACTGTCTTATCAATGTTAAAAGGGAGTAAATTAGAGTCGGACCAGATTTTTATTTTAAGTAGATCAGAAGTTATAACTGCATGAAGTGTTGCAATATTAGAGTTCTTCCAGCTAATACTGGTATCATCAGCAAAAAGAAACATTTTTTCATTGATTTTTAAGTTAGTGATGTCATTTATAAAGATAAGGAAAAGTAGAGGACCCAGAACTGAAGGACTGAACCTTGTGGTACTCCACATACAATACTTTTGTGACTAGAGTCAGTATCACTTGCTCTAAATAGTTGTTTCCCATTCCTCAAGTAATATTGGAGCCAATTCAAGGAAATACCTCGAATTCTGTAGAAATTCAGTTTTTTTATCAAAATGTGATTTACACAATCAAAAGCTTTGGCATAGTCACAGAAAACAGTAGCAGTATAAAGATTATTGTTTAGTGCTTGATAGACCTCATGTAGTACAGAAAACATAGAATCGCTGATACATTTATTAGATAAAAAGCCGAACTGACTTTGATAAAATGTTGTTTTCAATGAGAAAGGACATAAGTCGAGCTTGTATGTCTCTCAATAATTTTCGATAGGACCGGTAGTAAGGCAATAGGTCTATAGTTGCAGATATTAGATTTATCACCACCCTTATGAAGAGGAACAATAATGGCTGTTTTTAGGCACTCTGGAAATATACCTTTTTCAAAGGAACCATTAATTAGGGAGACCACAACTTCCAACACATTATTTGGGAGATTGAAAACTTTTATGGATAGTCCATTAGGACTACAGGAAGATTTGCTTTCGATACTACTGATTGTTTGGATCAGTTCAGATTTACCAACTGGTCTTAAGACATAAAGAATGAATTCAAGACCTTTTTTGAATTGGGAAGATAGGAAATAGGATCTTGTGGCAAAATAGCTGATGTTATATTTTTACTCACATAAATGAAGTATTCATTTAGATTTTCAGGGTTTGAAAGAGAAAATGTTTGAGATGAGTTATTTTATTTTTAAGATCATTTATTTGCAAGGAACCAAGTTTCCCTTGTAACATTTTAAGAGCTTCCCAGACGATTCTCATAGTACATTTTTTTAGCTGTTTTGATAAGTTTTAGATAGGTTCCTCTGTACTTGGAGATATATTCAGTGACAAAGAGATTGGTAGTAAATTTCTTAATGTACAGTGGTGAACACATATTCTTGACTGATATGCAGATACTCTTGATAGTCCAGGGTTCGTGATGTTTCGACTTAATTGTAATTAAAGGAAATGCCTTATTAAAAATACAGACAAGCTTATCTAAAAAATCACTGAAATTATAGTGCACATCCACAGAGGGAAAGTGCCACCCAGAAGTCAAGCACATTTTTTAATTTTGAACTTTGACGGTATACAAGGCAACTATCGAACACGGTGATTAATTTAATCTTGCCCAAGTACTTTCGATCAATAGATCATCTTCAGGGGCATTTCGTCAGTTGTGGCCTATCCGACATGAGTAGAATAGGCCACAACTGACAAAATGCCCTGAAAATAATCTATTGATTGAAAGTACTTGGGCAAGATTAAAGTAATCACCGTGTTCGATAGTTGCCTTGTATACCGTCAAAGTTTAATTATTCGAACATTCAACCTTATATTTATTTTTTAATTTACGAAAGTTCTAAGCTGAAAAAATCCTACCTAAATGTTGGGTTTTCGAAGATGAAGCAGTATATACCAAGTTTAACACTCTTAACAAACAGAGAGTCCTGCATTATTTTTGAGACAAATCTATTCATGTAAATTTTATTACATTTTCCATAAGAAGTGTGTGATCTCCTTTATAAAAAATTGTAGTATTTTTTTGTCATAAGTTTGAAATAAGATTAATTGTTGACTTGTTTGATTTTTGAAATGTAGTATAAGCAGAGGAAAAAGCATCCTTTTCTTTGCCAAATGTATGATTTTTAAATAAGCTTTTATTTCATGTTGCTTTATACTTTCTAGAATTTATAGAATTTACTAGTTATTAAATCATATTTTTGCAGAGTTGGACAAAAGAGCATTTATGATGGCAGATATTTCAGTTCCACCAAGTTCAATATGTACAATAGTTTTTTTTTAATTTGTATTTCCACATAGCTCAAATATTATATGGCAGTTGAACAAGAAAAACCTTGCCTAGTTCAATTATATGACCGTCTTTAATGATTTTTAAAGAATTTATGAAGAACTCCGTTTTGTACATCAAATTAATTATTTCTGGCACTGTTCTCTTGTTATGTATTTGTTTTGTTTTTTAAGATGTTAAAATATTGGTTTTGTTTAATGTTAAGTGTTACTGGGATGATTTCTTCAAGAATTGTTAAGTGTCGCTAAAGAGTATATACATACATTCTATGATATCATTAACAAGGGCCGTAGATATCTTAGATGATCTTAGATATACAACATAATCAACACAAGCATTATTTACCAATGGACTCCTTTTTTTATACTATATAAAGTTCTTAATATAGTGAACTATGAAAATATGAACCTAGAATATCTGAAATATCAGATAATCTGAATATTATTACATTATTAAAAAACCAACAAAAATTGACTTCAAAGGATAAAAAACTCAACAATGAATCAGCATTAAGACTTATTTTTATTTACAATGAAAAGGAACACTTTAAGTGATACATAGTTTAGTCTTCTTCTTCAGCCTTCATTTATCCAATGTTGGACATACGCCTCCTCCAATTGCTTCCACGCTTTCCTATCTTTTGCAATTCTCATCCACTGCTTTCCAGCTACAGCAGTTATATCGTCTATCCATCTCTTTTTAGGTCTTCCCACGCTTCTTTTTGTTTCTCGAGGTCTCCAGAATGTCACTTTATGAGACCATCTGTTGGTGTGTTGTCTTGCTAAAAAGAATCTATTTCTATATCTAGAAAGGTCTATTTTCATAGTTTTCAGGTCATCATCTATTTTTACGTGAAAAGTAGCATCATCGTATATATTCTTAAGGAGGTCAGCATATCTTGAATCTACTCTGGCGTCGTCCAATGCTGTTAAGAAAGCCCATTTCTCGATACTGTCGAATGCTTTGTGATAATCGACAAATGCCAGATGTAGTGGTATGTTGTACTCTATTGTTTTTTCAATAATGGTCCGAATTGTTTGCAAGTGATCGATAGTGCTAAAACCCTTACGAAAGCCTGCTTGCTCCACTGGTTGGTATGCATCTGGTTTAGCTGTCAATCTATTTGTTATTATTCGGGTTAGTAGTTTGTAAAGGTGTGACAATAAGCTTATTGGTAGGTAGTCACATAGTTTAGTACTTATAAAATATTAATTAATTGGAAAATATCAGCTATCTTCTTGTGGTAAGAGGGGCCCAACTATAAACATCAAGTATTTTTGCACAACAGTGATGTGCTGTTCAACATAGTGAAGTGTAACTTCAGATGCAACATCCATATGTGATAATGATCCATGTGAAGTGCTGGCAATGAATAGTAATGGTTTATTTTCAATAAATCCTGTACCTAAAGAACAAATTATTTTCCATAATTACACTTCCATACTGGAAACAATTTTTATGTAAACACTAGTCTTGTGTTAATGATCTTCAAATATTTTTGTATCCTAAAATTATTCAAATTTTCTCTTTTTTTACATTCATTATTACTCTATTCTTTATATTTGTCTAATACCGATGTTAAGATGGTTTGGAAACTATTATTTTCTTGAAGCATTTTTATATAACGATTGCCCAGGTGGAAATCAAAACTTAAAATATTTAATATTTTTAATTAAAATTGTGGTTCATTCCAATTAAATACAGTAGTTAATATATTACAGTAATAGCCATTTGTATAATGCGTTAGGTTAACATGGTTCTTTAGTTAACACCAAAGACAGAGAAGGCACTCAGACCTGACAGAATTACACCGGAAATGATAAAACCCATTATTGAGGAAAAGGCTGAATAGGTAAAGAACATAATGCATAACCAAGTGCTTTTAGGTCAATATGATTGCTAAATATACTAGGCAAGCTATTCAAAATCCTCATAAAGTCAAGGCTCAAAAATAAGTAGAAGAAACGGGCGGACTGTCAGTATGGGTTCAGAAAAGGCAAATCTGCCATAGATGCCATAAACAGGTTAGTAAGGGTGAAATGAGCATGCGGGCATAGGTGGATGGTGGCACTCTTCGTGGACATCAAGAATGCATTCAACAACGTGAGCTGGGGGAAAATCAGACTATTAGAAGAAATCGAAATATTCCCATACTTGCAGAACTTGCTGAGGGATTATTTCACTGACAGGATCATTGATACTACTAAAGATGACATAATGACACTCATACATCTGTACTCAGGTCCGCTGCTCTGGAATGTACCTACTTTATAATGACATATTAGAGATACACAGTCTAAAAGAGAAAGAATATATGCTGCGAAAAAAAGTTGATTAAAGAACAGCAGTGCTAACAAAGATCATAGGTGTCAAACATATGTGTATCAGGGACAGGTAGAAGAAGAATTCTCGTGAAAGTGGAAGTTCTCCACCATACTATATGCAGCACCAGTATGGCAGTAGGTAATGCGCAAACAAATATACAGAATTATTCTGGAGAAAGCTCACAGAAAGGCCCTGATGAGGGTCGTCTGTGCATGTATGGGATGAGTGAATAGTCGAGAGAGGGGTGAGCAACATGAAATGGCAAGTTGAGTGAGAAAACAAACATAGGGCTGAATGGACAAGAATATTCATACCGGACATGAGAGACTGGATAGGACACGGCCATAGGGAGACTAACCACTTCTTTACACAGTTCCTTATGAGCATGGCTCTTTCAGAGCCTACCTGGTAAGGATAGGGAAGCAAGAAGACGGCAACGGCGTTGACTGCGTGGTCAACGACACGGTGGAACACTGTGTGTTAGATTGCAAAAGGTTCACTAACGAGAGGGCGGAGCTATATGAAAGGGTGAGAGGTTAGGACGAATAACATAATCGAAGTGGCGGGAAGAGGAGAAAATAAACGTTAAAGGAAAAAAATAGAAGAGAAGAAAGCCACACGTGCGTGTTAGGGAGAGCGCCCACCAAACTGGCGTGGCAGTGGCAAGTAGCAAGTAGCACGCGTCTAGCATAATGTAACCAATGAAAACGAATGATTCAGCGCTCACCAAAATGATAGTGACGTCATCCATTCTAATAAATTTTTTGTATTGGTTACATTTAAAAATAACATGCTAGATGCGTGCTACTTGCTACCTGCCACTGCCACGCCAGTTTGGTGGGCGCTCTCACTTAGAGTGGTCTAAAGAAGACTAGGTGGTGGTGGTGATGGTGGTTTGAGTTGGTTGGCAAGGCATCATGGACATACCGAGGGCATGACTTCTAAGAGGTAAAATGCACTCTGGTGGATCCTTTTACTCTTAATCCAACATACGTCTTGGAAGATTTTACACCTTCAATAAAAAAAAGTTAACATTATTCAGTTAACTTACATTAGATAACTTTTTATGCGGATATATTAATTTTAAGTTTACAGCATAAACACATTATTATACTGTTGCACATATTGAAGTGAAACTTGGTTGAAACAGTACATACATGTTGTGGTTATTGCTTATTGATTATTTTTAGGTGCTACTCTGGTTCTTGCTTGCAGAAGTATTAATAAAGGATTAGAGGCCAAGAAATACATTCTTAAATACTCAAAAAGTAAAAATATCAAAATATTTGTCAAGGAATTAGATCTTTGTAAAATCTCGAGTATTGTTAAATTTGCAGAAACTTTGAAAACCGAATTTACAGAGATCTATGCTTTAGTAAATAACGCAGGAGTTTTTTATCACCCTCAAGATTTGACAGAAGATGGATTTGAAATTACTCTTCAAACCAACTATTTAGGTGTGTTATTAAAGTGTATATTTATAGATTTCAGAACTATATAACAGAATACAATTTTGTAAGGCGTTCTTCTGGAAATTAATTATTTCATATATACAGCTTATCACACACAATCGATAGAGACTTTGGAAGATCACTTAGATAATTTGACCCTGATTTAACTTTATTATAATAGACAGTAAAAAACAACTAATTCAAAATCTTTTATATTTTGGATATTCATTAGCACTTTTATTTAGCCGAAATAACTTTCAGAAAATGAAAAAAAAATCTAAATGAAAATTTATTTCATTTATATTAATTATTGAAAAATTTATATTCTGAATATACAACGCCAATTGGTGATATATATATATATATATATATATATTATATATATATATATATATATATATATATATATATATATATATATACAGTGTAGGTAAAATTTTATGGTCGGTATGGTAAAACTTAACAGGATATCTAACACAGATATAAAATCATATTTTCAGCGAATAGACAAAGATAACAATCATATTCCCCCTTGGTCTCCCCTCCATAAATCTTCTTGACGCCCATTTTGCCTGTTAGTGAGACGATTAGTTCCGATCAGAGATATTTTACATATTCTGTGGTTCCGATCCTCATAAAGCTAAGAAACTAGAGGTGGGTCCTTTAGTTTTTTAAATTTTTATCGGAACCGTTTTTCGTAAACTGTAACTAGTTGATTGTTTACCAGTATTCAAATTAGCGAGTACACAAACATATTGGCTATTATCGTTTATGTGTATAAGTATTGAAGTGAAAGAAACTAACGAAGAATATATTTATTATAACTTGAAAAATAAATTAAACAATACAAATAGTACTTACATTTACATGGACTTATCATCTTTATCAGTTTCTTTTTCTTGTACTAGTTAATTTTCAATAGTATAATCTTCTTTTTCTTTTTTTTATAGAAGTAACCAGCTTCAACCATCAACTAGTTGATTTTAACGAATTTAACCGAAAATTTAGAGTTTAACACGGTTTAATTAGACTGCTGCCATTTTTCTGGAAACCATAATTCAGAAAACATCGCTTTTAAAATTAGTGAAATTATTATTCAGTGGGGTCTAAAACAAAAAGTAAATTTTGCAGTAACTGATAATGCCTCAAATATGGTCATAGCTATTAAATATGTTTTGGAATGAAAACATTTAAATTGTTTTGCTCATACGTTAAATTTATTGATGGAGGACGCACTTAAATGCTGTCGTGTACAAATAGATAAAATAAAAAGTCTTTTTTTCGACAATTCGGCAAAAAACACATTTCAAAAAAGTACCTTCAGAAACGCTTTTAAAGTATCAATTACAACATAACAAAGATCCCAAACGGCCAATCCAAGACGTGGAAACTAGGTAGAACTTCACCTATTACATGTTAGAAAGAATGACGGAGTTAGAAGAGGCAATCCGTTCCACATTGGTATCAGTTAATACAGACTTAGACCAAATCGAATTAATGAAGACTGGATTATTTTTTCGTAATTGTCCTAAATTTTACGGCCTTTTAAAGAAATAACAAGTACAATGAGTGGCCAAAATACTTGAATGATAGTTCAGTGATTGTTCTGGTACGCTGCCTGCAAAAATCTTGCAATAAAATTTTAGCAAACAGTAACCTTACATCCATAGTTAGTATCCGACGTAGTACGGGTTTTTATTACTAATTACGGGATAATTACTAATCTCGGGTTTAGCAAAAAGATTTAGAGGGATAGAATACAGTGGCATATTGTCATTATGTACGTTTATGGATTCACGATTTAAAGTGCAGGGATTTTCTGATAAAATGAAGCTAAAAAAACAAAAGAAAGAGTTAAGAAGCTGGTTACTTCTATAATTAAAGAACAAGAAGATTGTACTATTGAAAATCAACCAGTATAAGAAAAAGAAACCGATAAAGATGACTTAAGTCCATGGTGTATTTTTGATCAATTAATTGGACATGACTCATCTAAACGTACACCTGTAGCGAGAGTCCATTACAATGGTGGAAAAATCATCGCCATGTATCTCCTAACTTAACCACTATATTCATAAAGTATTGTAAATGTGAACACATGTTCAAAATCAGGTTTAATTTTAAATAAAAGAAAACACGGTTAATTAGAAGTAAAGTAAAAAAACTTATGTTTTTAAATGTCAATTTAGACGATTCGTGATTTAATAATAACGTGTAATGTAATCGTAGGTACGATTTACTATTTGTATTGTTTAGTTTAGTTTTCAAGTTATAATAAAATCTTTTATTAGTTTCCTTCACTTCAATAAATATACAGATAAACGATAATAGCCATTATGTTTGTTTATGTAGGTAGTTTCTTACTTGAAACTACTATTAAAAAATCATAGTTACTTGTTTACGAAAATCGGTTTTGCGACGTCAATGACCCACCTCTATTCGTAAATACCTGTTTACGCTTTGATTCGGTGATTTGACCACGCGACACGCCACGTTGGCAAATACTTTTGTACGAAGCTTTTTTATTTATATGCAGTTTAATATTTTTATTGGAAATAAGGCATAATGTCACTTTAAAATAAGCTTATTTTGATGTTTAGATTTTTAATTCGGAAATCGTTTTTAAAATACCAAACATTAATAAATTTTATTTATATAAAACGATTTCCGAAGTATAAATCAAAATGTTATATTACACTTATTGTAAAGTAAAATTGTGGCATATTCCCAATAAAAAACAATAAGCTGCCATTTAAATCCATTTCGCCCAAATTTCATTATCTTGGAGCATTGTTCAAATGCAAAAAAGACAACAGGTCAAATAAGTTTGGCAACGTTGAATTTCTCCTTTTTATTATATCCACTCCATATCCACTCATTTATGTTCGGTGATATAAAAGGCGGACACCTAATATATCTCTCTCTTTTTAAACAGTTGTTTCTCACTCCATCTCATGTAAGGTCCATACCGACCATAAACTTTTACCTATACTGTATATATATATATATATATATATATATATATATATATATATATATATATATATATATATATATATATATATATATAAATGTTGAATAAATGCCGAACTTTAGATCGTTTTAGAGTCATTCGAAAATACATAATTATACGCATCTCACCATAAATGACCTATACTGCATGCATATATAGCGATTATTTATTTTTAGGTCCATTTATCTTGACACACCATTTATTGGACTTACTTAAAAGATCAGTACATGCGAGAATAGTTAATATTTCTTCGGAAGCTCATCGACTCGTCAATGTGTATGATTTAAATGCAGTGACTAAATGTCAAACAGAATTTAGAGACAATTTTATTGCCTACGGAGTATCCAAATTGGCGCTCAATTTATTTACTAAGGAATTATCACAAAAATTATTGAGTAAGTATATAACAGTCGGGGTATATAGGGTTAGTAGAAACTAGAAGCCGTAATCACTTAAAGATAGGGTTACATATAAGAGAGAATTCTGCAAAAGTTAAATAAGAGAAGAAGAAAGAGAAAAATTTAAATTGGGTGAGAAAAAGTAAAATACATTTGTGGGAGATAAAAAATGGAAGGGGAATCATGAAGATTTATTTGTAATAAGTTCAGACCAAAGAGAAAATAACATTAAAAAACTCTGCCTCAGCCACTGTCCGTCCACTCCTAAACATACTCTTCCATATTTATCCATGCTATCTTCTGCTATTTGAAAACACCTATTTCCTACAGATTTTTTGACATCATTAAGCCATCTCTTCTGGGGTCCACCGACGCTACGTTTTGTGTGTTTTGGTCGCCAGTGTGCCAGTTTAATTGTCCATCTGGTTTTGATTTTGCCGAGCTACATATCCCACCCATTGCTATTTCAGTTCTGCTGCACTTTTTTAAAAAGCACATACACTCTGAATAAACTTTTATTTAGACTAGCAAAGATTTTAGTTACAATTTAAAATATTATATTCAAACTACAAATATATCAGATTGAAAAAAGGTGGTTTTACCAATGCTTTATTTTTAATAATTACACTTGCTGAATTTGCTTTTCTAGTACTTCGCAGTTGATGTTGCAAGGTTCCGGAATATTCGGCGCTGATAGGCGGTAACTTCTTATTGCATTTACGTGATTGAATATACTGGATTCTAGCAGTCATTGCACTACAACTCATGTCATTATCAAAATGAGAAGAATATTATAAATTGCTCAACATCGTAGAAAGACCAGAATGTACCAGAAAGGTGACATAATAAACCTTCTTCCTCTTCTTTTCATATAGACAAGACTGTGTCTGTTTTTCAATGTGCCTCCAGTAAGTTGTCGTTCCATCGTTTTCGTGGTCTTCCTACTGATCGTTTTCCTATTGGGGAACCGTCTCTTGCCGTCTTTACTACTCTATTTGTTGCCATTTGGTTTATATGATCATTCCATACTACTCTTCTATTTTTTACACAGTTTTTGATGTTCTTCACCTTGCATCTATATCGTATATCTGTACTTCTAGCTCTGTCCCATTGTGTCTTCCAATCAATTTTTTAAGTGTTTTCATCTCTGCTATTTCTAACATCCCTTTGTCCTCTCGGTATCAGGTTTTGTTTCTGCCGCGTATGTCATTATTGGTCTGATGACTGTTTTGGAAATTCTGCCTTTCGTTTCTTTCCAATATTTTTATTTCTCCATATTGTTTCATTTAGGCAGCCTGCGGCTCTGTTTGCTCTATTCACTTGATTTTCCACTTCGGTTTCGAGCTTTCCATAGCTAGATAATGTGATGCCTAGATATTTAAACTCCATCATTTGTTCTATTATCTGACCTTCCAGCTCCAATTTACATCTTAGTAAATTTGCTGTTGTAACCATGCATTTTGTCATTTTTGGGGAAATTAACATGTTAAATTTTCTGGCGGTTATATTAAATTGGTGCAGCATACGTTATAAATTATCTTCACTTCGAGAGAGTAGTATTGCGTCGTCTGCATAGCAGAATACTTTAGGTTGGTTTTCTCCCGTTTGATATCCTTTTTTAGTTCTTACTTTTTTTATTATTTCATCCATAATCAGGTTGAACAATAGAGGACTGAATGAATCTCCCTGTCTAACCCCATTGCAGCTTCAATGGGGTCGGTTAGTTCTTCTACTTTTACTTTTATTGTGTTGTTTTGGTAGATATTTTCTATCGATTTGATTATTCTTTAAATGAAGCTCACAAAATGATGGAAGAACTAAAACAGGCAATAGAACAAATAGGCCTGAACATAAACTTTGAAAAAACAAAATACATGACCAATTTAGTTCCAAGTGATGTTATGAGGGTAGATGGGAACGAAGTACATCAGGTCTTTAGCTATATCTATTTAAGGCATGAAATTAGAATAGGAAAAGACAACCAACGCTACCGATTTGCTTGAAGAAAAAGGTTTACAACCAATGCATACTGTTAGTAATAACGTATGGTTCCGAAACAATAACTAACCAAACCAAATGATCTCATTTCTTCCAACAAGTGAGATGTAGTGCTTACAGTTTCTTCCATCCCCAAGTTTAAGTTTTAAATTCAATGTTTGTCCCGTCATTTAGTGTTTCTGTTTCATGTTAATGTGTGTTTAATTGGTCCCTGTTCATTCTTAAGTTATAATAATTTTATATACTTTTTTATATACCTTTTTACATAGTTGACTTTACAATAATTTAATAATTTTGCCAATAGACTTGATAATTGCAAGTCAAAAATTGCACAACCACACAATCGGTACAGCTACTCTTATTCATTGTCATAAAACTGTCTCCTTCATTACATAAATACTCAATAAATAACACACATTCCAAAAAATATATCTCTGATATAAGTGTAAATAATTTAAATAATACAATAGTAAAGAACATCACTTTCATCTGACAAACAACAACAATATACCTATCTCTAATTCATTGGATCAAATCTGTTCTCCTCAAGAACTTCCCGTTTATTGTCAAAACAACTGCAATAGCACATTAAAGTTCTCCAATCAACAATACATGATTTTTGCAACCATGACCTACCATCCATCAATTAATAGAGTACCGGCATCATTAGTTTAACTTTGTATCTCGACCTGAAGATGCTTTGCAAATTATAGAAAGCGAAACCGGTCGTCAGATTGTTAAATTAAATTGATTGTGAGTAAGTCTTATTATTATTTCTTTACCTATATGTCAAGATGTTTCAGTGCTATTAAAAGACTCGGACAAGTTTGCTGCCTCTTCACATTGCTTTTCAATATCTACATGAAAATGCATTAAAACACTGGAAACAACATTGTATTAGGTTGAGTTTACAGATAGGAGATGATAGTATTGTATGTATGTTACACTATGGCACAATCGTTATGTATACCTTGGAGTAAAAATAGAAGAACAAGAAACCAAAAAAATAAATGTAATACTATCCTTAGACTGACACTAAAATGTGGCACAAGGATTTGGCGAATAAAAAAGTAAGGACAAATAGCTGATAGCGGAAATGGATTTCTGAGGACGGGCACCAGTAAAATTAAATCTTTATCTAAAATTTTTCATTAAACTAAGATCCATATTATAAACACGAGCAGCGAACTTCTCGTTAGAAAGATCGAATTGAGTTGAATTTGGTTTGTCCAACTTTTTACTAAGCTATAAGAATCTCAGGTGCTGGGTTTCGTTTTGAAAAACTGTGGTGAATTTCCCATTTGTTGTGACAAATATCGCCGTCTACTGTTACTCCTCTGTGGTCTCAATTGACCATCTTAAAGGCATACTCTAATGCCGTTATGAATAATTTCGGTAACAGTGTATCTCTTTGCCTTAAAAATTTGACTGTGGAATACATCAGTGACCTCCGTTTTTTGTCTGATCCATCCTATTAATTTCCGATTTCTTTGTTATACCTAGCATACATGGCTACGTTGTTCTTTGAGTAACTTTCGAGTTTTGTTATTATCTCTATCTTTAGTGTCCAAGTTTCTCTGCTGTATGTCCTGATTGTATATACTGACCGAATGCCTTTTTCTTCGAGTGGAATGGCATCCTGGATTTGAATAAAACTGCATTTTTACAAAAAGATACCAAGTCAATTTCATTCTATTGCTTTCTGGGAACACTTAGCCAGATTTATGTATTAATTGTTCCAGGTGTACATACTCGTCTATGGACATATCTTGGACATCCACTAGCTCGTTATAGTTCTTGCAGTTCTGCAGGATTATTAGCGATCAGAACGATGTCGTCTGCAAATCTTAGATAGCTGTTAGTTAATTTTATTATACTTTCAAGACACTGAATTTAAAATCATTAAAAGTTCAAAAACAAATACCAAATCAAACTGTACTCGTTTACTGTAAAGAGTTCCAATATTTAGTTGGTTGGAAATATAAGGTACCGATGACCATTGTCCACGAAATTGTGTTGGGGAACCTAGAATTAGTGAATGTTAATGAAATTAATTGTGATATGAATTTATTTAACTCACCATGAGGTTTCTTTTGGAAAAGATTTTAGATCGGATGTGATGTGTGAAAATTGCCGAAGTTATCGTTGAAATGAATATAGGGATTGAGTTTAGAAGTATCAAGGTAGAACCGATGCTAGATACTTTTTTATATATAGCCTAAATTTTCGGTTTTTGTCCTCTATGAATAAAAGTAGCTACCATCGGTTCTACCTTGATACTTCTAAAATCAACCCCTATATTCATTTCAACGAAAACTTCAGCAATTTTCACACATCAAATCCAATGTAAAATCTTTTCCAAAAGGAACCTCATGGTGAGTTAAATAAATTTATATCACAACTCATTTCATTAACATTCACTAATTCTAGGTGTCCCAACACAATTTCGTCAAAATTGCGTCTGTTAAAAATAGTTGCTTTTTTTAATTGCTTTGGTGTCTCTAACAATAAAGTTAACTTTCCATGTCCTTTTTTTTTGTAAAAAATAATTTTTAAATTGTTTACTAAGCTAAGCTTGTATTTTCATAAATATTTTTTACAAATTAATTAGTTTTTCTTTAAATTTCAGGTACCAACGTAATAATTAATGCCGCAAATCCTGGAAACGTTGAAACTTCAATTTTCAGAAATTTCCCCCGTTAAGTAACCCATGGTTGTACGCTCTTCAGTGGCCAATACGGATATTAGTCATCAAAAACCCCAAACAAGGAGCGCAGACACCTCTTCATCTTCTTTTAACGTCTAATAGAACGACAGGGCAGTATTTCAGTGATTGTAAATTGGCATTACCTAGCCCAATTGCGGCCAACGATAAAACAGCTCATGAATATTACGCTCTAACTTTGGAAATTCTTGCTGATAAGTTTAATACGGAATCTGAGTGTTAAAAATATGGTTTATGAGTATTTAAACGATAGTATTAAAAAAGAGATTATAGAAGAAGGACAATGGGGGGATAAACCGGATGAAAATAGTAAATGCACTATTACTATATTAAATTATGCTCCTCTTAAAGATATTATTAACACAACTATAACTATTGGAGATGCAGATGGGGATTTATGGAGGTCTATTCAAAATTGTTTAACTACAATGCACGTTGGAGAAAAATCTAAATTTGTTATAAAATATTCCGACAATGATTTATCTTTAGTCATAATACTTATAAATTTAGTTTTTGATGGACATATCTATGATTGGCGCGCAAATAAAAAACTCGAACTAGCTTTATATCACAAGGAAAAGGGAAATGTACTATTCAAACAGCAAAATAGTAAAGATGCTGCATTTAGGTTTATAAAAGGTTTAAAAATTCTTCATTCAATTCCTATTGACGCTGAACAACCACCAGACATCATTGAAGATATACCAATATCAAGAATAAATAATATTAAGGAAACGCTTTATAATAACTTATCCACTTGTTATTTTAGAAATAAAACGTGGGAAAAGGTCATTTCTTTATGTGAAAAAGTATTAACCTATAATCCTAATAACGCAAAAGCTCTTTACAGATTAGGTGTTGCTTACGAAAATAGCAGGGACTTTGAACGAGCATTTGATGCTTTATCTAAATTGTTAGAATTAGAGCCTGATAACAAAGCTTGTTGTGAGCGCCTTTCCATTATTAAGGTTGAACTTAGAAAGGCTGAAATTAGAGTTAATGATATGGTTAAAAAAATGTTTTCTTTAAGCTAGATTAGATCTAAATTAGGCTTTTTTAATTATTGAAGATATAAAATAAATGTTTTATTAACAAAATGTTTTTTTTTTTATTTGAGGCAAGTTGTTTTATATTTTATATATTATATATATTTATATATGTTGTTTGTTTATCATATATTTAGAAGACAATCAGAATAAAAATATTCTTCTTTAAATTTGTTATCTGAAACAACTATTATCTCTGATAACACCCAATGCTTTATTTAAGCCCCAAATTTTCAGAACCTAATATTAAAACGTCCGGGTCTAATTACTTGTACTCTTCTAACAGTATTTAGCTAACTCTCTAATGTTTACCAATACAAATTTTTCTTATAACTTAAATCAACATAAAGTCCACTCTTCTTCGAACACTTCTTAATGCTAAATTATTATATTTACAAATTTATCATATACAGGGCTGTTAAAGACAGTTTTATTTGTATTTAAAGACAGACGTGGCAACCGTGCAACGTGAAGTTTGTACGTCCGCTTAATTCTTAACAGTTGTTGAGAAATGATATTGTAAATCCGAAAGTCATACAATAAAGACATGTTATATCCTAGTTGTCAACTCAATTAAATTCTACGAAAGTCGATGATAAAATCTTATAGCGGGAAGTAAATCAACAGGGCATTGAAAATTTATAGTCCCGTAGTCTTTTTCATAAAAAAATATTTTATTTTAAGTTAAATTTGAATTACAACAAAATCCTCGCCTTTGCAAAAAAAAAATTCTCCGTGATATTTGCAATTATTTATTTACTCGTGATATTTGTATACATCGTGAATATTGTAAATTCCTCTGATCTTTCCCATGATTCCACATGCCTCAGAACATAGCTATTTACTCTATTTTCATTATTCACTAGGTAAGGACCCTCGAAAATAGGCATTAACTTTCCACAAATATCGCTAGTAAGATTTGATCTTCGTAATGCTCTTACAAGCACCTTCTCATCCCCTCTGGAAAGTCACTGGCCTTCGTCTTATATTTCGATTCTGCTTTTGGACATATTTCTCATTACTTCGCCGCAGCCTCCTCTGCACCGTTACCAAAACCTGTTGGCACTCTCTCGGCTCTGGATCTTCACATACTCGTGTCGGCATCACTCCCTTTATAATGTACTCCGGAGTCTCTTTTGTTACCGTACTCGGAATGATATTTAGATAATTTTCTATTTCCACCACTTTCCTATCCCATCGTCGATGTTGTCCATTCGTCTCAATACGAAGAAATTTTGTCACTTCCTGAATAAATCGTTCAGATGGATTGCTCTAACCATGTCTGGTGCTGACAAAGTTTGTCTCTATTCCCCTTTCTCTCAGCTGTCCCTTGAAACGAACATTGCGGAAATACGTCGCATTTTCTAGTAACATTCCTCTAGGTGTTCCAACGGTTGCTATAAATATATTGATATTTGTCATTATTTCTCCTCTTTTTGAGGTACGGCAACTATATAATTGCATATACTTTGAAAAAACATCAACTACCACCAAAATATATTTATTTTTTTGGGTCGTCATAATTAGATCACTCAACATATCTATTGCTACAATGTCCAATTTGTTTCTGAGCACAATATTATTTGCGGTATTTTCATTCTTGAAGTTCCTACATTTATATCTTGACAAGTTTCACATTTTTGGGTTATCTCCTTTGCAATGCGGTAGTCTTACTAGTAGATATAGTTTTCTCATCATCTTTTGTTACTATCTAACTTTGAAACTTGTTCTTTTGTGTTACCCGTAGTTTGCTTCCATCGTAATAAATACTTTGTTTTTAAAAACCTTTAAATAAAATTTTGTTTTTTGGTTCTTTTCCAAAACATTTTTTACGAATTTGTGCTGCATTCATTGAAACAAAGGGTAATTTATAAAATTAATTAAGGTACCCATTAATTTACATTTTATGACGAAAAATTTTTAAATCGATTTTTGTCGAAAACGGTGTATCCTACAGACTTGTAATAGTACTAGAATACCTAAAAATTTAAAAATCTAGTATCATAAATGCTTATAAATTACTGACCAAAAAGTTATGCGTTAAAATAACCGTTGACCTACCCCAAACGGACGCTCAAGAACGGTACTAGAAATTTGCAATTAATGAAATCGATTTAACTCTGGAGTTAAATCGATTTGAATAATTGCAAATTTCTAGTACCGTTTGAATCTGAATAATTGTAATAGTTTTCGTTTTTCTAAATAGAAGCGTTCTGAAGATATTAAAAAAAAACTACTTACATAGCGTCATCTTCAAAGAGCTCTATAGCTGCTTAGCATTTTCGAACTAGGTCAATTGACTTAAATCGTCCTAAAATTATCTGAGGAATGTCCGGTCTTCGTTGGTCACGAGAGTTTCTGGACACCCTGTATATTAGAAATATTAATTAATATAAAATATTATTTAATATTCTAGTTGTTTATTTTGTAATCAGTCAAAGGCATTCTTCAGGTCAAATTCAGCAAATTTACCTTATGCTTTATATATAAACCAAATGTATGTCACTATACGTTAATTAATAATGAAGATACTGTGTAGTGCCTTTTGGTAGTCGCCTTGTTTGTTTTTCTTATCTTAATACATTCGTTATATTCAGCAAGTTATATTATTTTAAACTCAGCCAGAGGCCTTCTTTAAGTCAATAAATTAAAATTTATCTTATAGTGAATCTATTCTTATCTATAGTGCCCTATGATATCTTGTATGTCGCTATACTTCCATTATTAATGAAGATACTGTGTAGTGCCCTTTTGCTAGTCGCCTTGTTTTTTTATCTTAATATATTCGTTATATACTCCCCTTTCATTTGCTATGTCGCATGTTGTGATTCGATCAGTTGTTTATTTTGTATTCAGCCAGAGGCCTTCGTTAAGTCATTAATCAATATTTGTCTTTTAGTGAAACTATTTTTATCCATATTGCCCTATGACATCTCCTATGTAACTATACATTCATTAATAATGAAGACACTATGTATTGCTTTTTTAGTAGTCGCCTTGTTTAATTTTTCTATTTCAATATATTCGTTATATCCTTTCCTTTAATTTTTCGCATCATACGCTCCAATCGGACCAATAACAAAGGGGATTTGATGTACTACCCTTTTGACAATGCCACAATGTGTTTTTCTGTCCCAACATACTCGCTACCCCCTCTCCTTTTCAAGGATGTATTATACGTAACAAACCGACGATTTATTCTATCCCCACCACAAAACGATCAAAAAATGAGCAGAATGAACCTTAGCATTTTCTTATGAGATTTTACATGGTAAATGAAGCAGAAACGGTAAGCAGTCATTTACAGGTATGGTATACTTAATTTTATTTTGGTAAAATATTGATGTTTGTTAAACGTCATTTTATAGTAAGTATATGCGTATCTCTTACCGAATAACGTATAATAAATATATTATACGTCATTGATCTTACCTTACAATTACAGTAAGCTATACTTGTTAGCAATTTTGCGAAAAAATTAATTACTGCAGTAAAATTTCCTATTGTAGAATATAATTTGTAGAATGACTTAGCAATAAATCAACCGTATCGTTTCAAGAACAAAATATGATTGAAATGTCAGATGTTGGTAGTTCAGATTTATTTCCTAGGTAGCATAGTTACGTTACTGGACAAACACTGTGACTTGTCATCCTAGCCTTTTATATAGATATATGTTTCTACTTCGGGTCCATTTTTATTATCGCCAATTTACTTTACATCTACTTTCTGACTTATACGGCTTAGGCAAGTATGAAAATGAGCAATTCACATATATCATCTTTGATTGCCACCTATAAATTAACACCAAACCTAACCTAAAATGTCTGCTATTTAAAAATACGTTAAATCGTAATACCAAAAATGCATCTTTTTTTATCTTTTTAATTCTTTACCTATTTTCTTGAAAACCGTCAGATATTTGTTTATTTTTGAGGTATATGGTTGATCCATTGTAAAAGGAACACAGTGAAACACTATCTCCAACAACAAAATGTAAACAGACGAACGTCAGAACCAACCGGATTTTGACCTTTCTGATGCCTATAGTAAGAGGATCTTTTTAATACGCCATCTAAATATCAAAATTCACAGTACAAAGAATTTGTTAACAAAATGTTAAGGTTTTTTCCATCGCCTTTTGATATCTTTTTCCAGAACTAGTAATCTATTATAT